ATGAATTGAATCAATTAATCTTTTTGAGGAAAGTTCAGTGTCTGCATACAGAGGGAGGAGATACTGAATGTTTGGATGCATTTTAGGGAGCCATGACCCAGGAAGGATCTCTAACAGCCATCTGAGGAGTGGCCAGTGAAGTTATCACTAGGCTGTAATGTAAACACTGCATTTTCTCTGAAAAGTGTGTTTACTGCAAAAAGCCTGAAGGTAATGATTCCACTCACCAGAACAAATTCAATAAGCTGTAGTAGTTCTGGTGACTATAGTGTCCTTTAATGTTAGGGTTGTTAGATTGCTGTAATTTTGGATAGTATTTCATTTTTCAAAGTGGGACAGAGGGGCATACCAGTGATGCAACTTGCCCATAGGCTGGCCCCAATCAGGGCAGACTATACAGAGAGTACTCCTGGAGTGATCAATGCATTATTCTACCAACTTCAATACTGCATAAGACATATAATGATATGTGTGCTGTGCTGGCTGGGGTCAGTTCCCTGGTGTCCTCAAATGCAATTCCCCATGGAATAAAATTAGGAGAGAGGGACAGAAATTATGACTGTTCCAACTAAATCAAAACAGCTGGAGACGTGTTTAAAATTTTTTTTTTTTTTTTTACAAATTCTGCATTTTTGGGGATAGGTATGAAAGTGCTGCCTGGTAGTATATAGGATTTATATGCTTCTGGTGTAATATTAGCAGAATCGCCCGAGTAAAAACATACTAGGCAATGTTGTGATCTGTTAATTGATTTTATAGCCTAATAGAAAGTAGAAATAATGTCTCCCATGTAGAGTTTTGGAAAGCCTACTCACTGTGCTTAAAGCCGAGCAATACCTCAATTACGGAACCTGTGGGGGTCCAAATATCATTTGAGATTGTTGTATCTTGTGTCCCTAAATAGATCTGACTTAGTACTCATGAAATGGTATGATCTATTATATTACATGTGATATAAATACTTTAAAGTTGCTTCCTATTAGGCAATATCACCTGTCAAACATTGTATTTTGTTACCAGATTGCTGGGAGGTAAGCTTCAAAATGACTAACATAGAAATTTGTAAAAGTGTGTACATTTTGTTCCATTTGGGGTAATGTTACTAGATTTTACCAGAAAACTAGAATTCCTATTGCTGGCACAGCTTAAACATATATTTACACTTCACAGATATTCATACATTGTTACTTGTTCAATGTCCATTACAGATTCACTTTCCTCAAAGACAAAGGTCATTCAGTCATTTTACACTGAGACAGCATTCAATCTACCTTCAAATACTATACATTTGTTCTGCTTATTTAAATACATATTATTAATGTCCTTAAAGGACCACTCCGGAAACCATAACAACTTCATCAATATGAAGTGTTATGGTGCCAGGAAGTGCCTGGAGCTGGCTTTCCTCTAGGGGATAAACTGTTCTTGAATGGTTTAACCCCAAAGTCTGTGTTCCAGTGTTCTCCCCACCTCTCTGTCCTTCCGTTTTCTCAAAATCGGGAAACCGGAGGTCTTTTGCAGAATCCGGCAGCAGTTATTCTCTCAGCCAATCAGTGACTCCCCATTCATAAAACTGGCATGTAAAGAAACATACCTGAAAGTCTCTTCTGGGAAAAAAGGGGATATCTTTCACAGATTTACCCCCAATGAATGCATGCATGTATTTAGTGGGGGTATATCTACTAAACAGTGATTTTAGGGTATTTTTTGTTATTTGGGAAGTGGAGTGTTCTTTTAAGTAGCCACAATTCCACTCCTCTCCTTAATATGAATAACGCAACTGTACTCCTTTTATCATATGCGTATAGGTAGATTTAGTAAAGTGAGAATTCAAAGTGATTTCAAAACGAAGTTCAAATTTAAGGTCGTAATAGCCAAAATGAGAGCATAGGTGACTTATAGTTCCGCAATTTTTTCTTTAATTGGTGACTTTAACACGTCTTCAATAATATGTAATTTATTTATTTTTTTATGTTAAAATGCCATGTTGGGTATTACTATTAATTCCTCTCTCCTTCCTGCCTGTTGATATTTAAAAAAAATAAAAATAAAAAAAACTTGACTTGTATTCGAGCACCAGACGAATCTCCCTGTGCTGATCTCCCTCCTCCATCCGATGTCAGCAGGGGCCTCACACAATCCAATCACATAGAGAAGCCTGTGATTTAACGGTTTTGCTGGCGCAGTGTGCATGCACGCCCTCTTGGCCAGCAAGGGGAGGGAGGGAGGTAGTAAGACACTTTATATGAGCGGCATTTATAGCGGAAATGCTAATCATAGAGAGTTCTGCCACCATGACCGCTTTAAATCACTGAACTGGTCATGGTAGTTGGAGTAACCCTTTAAATTTGAAATGCACTTTGAATTAAAGGGACATTATAGGCTCCCTGCTTCAGACGTTTGCAGCATCAGATGCGTCAGCAATGCTTTCCTACGGAGAGGGTCTAACGTGGTCACGGAACTTGCTGTGCATGCGCATTAGCCCCATCGGATGACGGTGAGCCAGCGCCGAGGGAAAGCGCTGCTGGAATTGGGTGAGAAAGCAAAAGATTTTTTAAGCCTTTCCATGCTGGGGGAGAGGGGCGTGAGAGGAGTGAGGAAACTATAAGGAACAGCAAGGAATACAAGTTTGTATTTCTTAAACTATAGAATCCCTTTAACTTTGAATTCTCACCTAAATTAATGAACGTATGGGAGTCCATTGGCTTTGCGCAATTGATAGGTGACCCCTGGGGATATTTTTTCTTAATTCAGAAATATTCAGTTCGGGTAAAACAAACACACAAAACAACCAATCACTTAGACCATTATTTTGCTTATTTGTGTATTGTGTAGGACATTCATTTCAACCTCATGATGAGAATATAGAATTCTCAAACTGCACTGCACATTTTTGCTGCGATAGCTGAGTACAGCATTATACCGGGCTGCTCCTTGGCATGGATAGTCAAGGTTGTGAAAGACAAATAGTACAGACTGACTGCAGCAGTGATCTGTCTGCCTGTCTGTCTGTCAAAACTTGGACCCAAAATGAGCTTGGGCGTCTGATAGGACATTAACAAAATATTCACCATTTTTAAAATCTTTTAGCAAAACATAGATTCTACTTTACTGTTTTAATCAGTACTTGTCATTACTTTAACCCAGTCATCTAAATGCACATAACATTCACACATGTTAGTACTCATTTCTTGCTATATAGTAACTTCTGTTTCATGCCTCATTTACTTGACATCCCAGCCAAATAATATCCCACCCAGACTCCCACCGCCAAATAATTACAAATAAATGTGTGTCTTCCCTTAAGTTATGCTGTGTGTTTATGTCATCTTTATTTTAGCTCTCTTCTCTTACCTCTTAAAGGACCACTATAGTGCCAGGAAAACATACTCAGGGACCCCCTCCCGCCCGGCTCTGGAAGGGGGAAAGGGGTTAAAACTTACCTTTTTCCAGCACTGGGCAGGGAGCTCTCCTCCTTCTCTCCTCCTCCGTTCCGCCCCGTCGGCTGAATGCGCACGCGCGGCAAGAGCTGCGCGCGCATTCAGCCGGTCGCATAGGAAAGCATTTATAATGCTTTCCTATGGACGCTGGCGTGCTCTCACTGTGAAAATCACAGTGAGAAGCACGCAAGCGCCTCTAGTGGCTGTCAATGAGACAGCCACTAGAGGATTAGGGGGAAGGCTTAACCCATTCATAAACATAACAGTTTCTCCGAAACTGCTATGTTTATTAAAAAATGGGTTAACCCTAGCTGGACCTGGCACCCAGACCACTTCATTAAGCTGAAGTGGTCTGGGTGCCTAGAGTGGTCCTTTAATTTTAAAGGGACACTCCACTGGGAAAAAATATACAAATAATTATTTAGTAGATTTACCTCCAATGAAAACACGCATTACTTTAAGTCTCTATTTCTTATTGGGATGTATTTAAAACAAGCTTGTAAAATCTGCAGATCTTTTGTCTGTGAGCCTTGGAAGCCTTCCCCCTTTACCATGGCACAGAATTTCAGTTTATCAGTTTGTGCCAGAGAAATTTCCAACCAGAGGCTTCTCATTGAGTAAAACTGCTTTCTAGACTGCCAGCGAGGACACATGGACCAAACAGACATGCAGTAACACAAAGGTAAAAAGTGCCCTGTGCGCATGCTCACAGACTCACAGTGACGTGGGGGAGAAATCAACACTTTTATAAACTGCAATTAACATTAACGAGATTATTCCGGTTCCCTCCTCTCTTATCCAACTCACTTGTCCTCTTTTTTTCCAGTTTTCTTTCACCCTTTATTGCCATTCTCTTCACCTATTCTTCAACTTTCTCCTTTCCTCCCCCCAGCTCTCCCATTAAATTCAAACACTCTTCTTGCTCTTTAATCACGTTTTCTTTTTTCTTATTTTTTGTCCGCTCCCCATATACTTCGGCTGTCCCTTTTGTTCCCCTTATTCCATCTCTCTCCCCTTTCCTTCATTTCAGTTATTTCGTCCTTTATACCAACTCTCTTCCTTTATTACAACTTTTATACGTTATATCTCATCATATTGTACATGTAAAGAGGCCATACATTGGATTGCGTCACAGCTGAGTAGAGTAACCACATGGCCCGATGGTCATTATCTGTATATCTAACTCTCTACCTCTCCATCTGTCTTTTTAGCATATGAACTTGGCTGTCTACTTAAAGGGACACTCTAGTCACCTGAACAACTTTAGCTTAATGAAGCAGTTTTGGTGTATAGAACATGCCCCTGCAGCCTCACTGCTCAATCCTCTGCCATTTAGTAGTTAAATCCCTTTGTTTATGAACCCTAGTCACACCTCCCTGCATGTGACTTGCACAGCCTTCCATAAACTCTTCCTGTAAAGAGAGCCCTATTTAGGCTTTCTTTATTGCAAGTTCTGTTTAATTAAGATTTTCTTATCCCCTGCTATATTAATAGCTTGCTAGACCCTGCAAGTGCCTCCTGTATGTGATTAAAGTTCAATTTAGAGATTGAGATACAATTATTTAAGGTAAATTACATCTGTTTGAAAGTGAAACCAGTTTTTTTTTTCATGCAGGCTCTGTCAATCATAGCCAGGGGAGGTGTGGCTAGGGCTGCATAAACAGAAACAAAATGATTTAACTCCTAAATGACAGTGAATTGAGCAGTGAAATTGCAGGGGAATTATCTATACACTAAAACTGCTTTATTTAGCTAAAGTAATTAAGGTGACTATAGTGTTCCTTTAAATAAATTAGGCAGTATTTGAAATCAATCCAAAAGGAATCATACAGTGCTCTGTGAACGTTAAGATACAATTTTTCAATATAGTAAATCCACACACTTCTACACTTAGGTGGATATCTCCCTAGTCTACCCTATTGTAAAAACCAACGACTAAAAAGGGGAATGTGTACTAAACACTACCAAAACCAGTGTAGTGTGCCGATTGATAAAGCCCTAGGAGATGCTGAAACACATTTCGGAGGAGCATCAAGGACATATTTACTTTGCTATTTGCACATAGCTTTTATTAGTTTTTATTAAAGTACATGTTTTTATGTAATAAATTTTGTTTTTAGTCCAACTAGCCATTCCTGCATGCTTGCTTGCAGTGAAGGGTTGTGCCCTCTAATAGGCACTGAGTGTTACTACCTAGAGCCAGGTTCCGAGGGCTCTATACAGGGCCGTCTTTAATTCTGATTGGACCCTGGGCAAGCTTTAACTTGGGCCCCCTGACTACATATAGATACACACATGCTGATACACACTGACCGCATATAGATACACACAAGAACATACAAATACACACAGACTACACATAGAACACTGACACACAGATAGACACAAACACAGATACACAACCTGACAAACATGCAGATACACAGATACAAACACTGATACATGCAGATACAAAGGTACACACACTGACTACATATAGATACACCGACACACACACACACTACAGACACACAGATACACAACCTGACACACATGCAGATATACATATACAAACACGGACACATACAGATACACACTGACTATATATAGATACACACACAAACACAAACGGACAACATACAGATACAAAGGCACATTCTGACAGACGTACTGACACAGAGACACACACAGACAGCCATACTGAAACACACATACACACAGACATACAGAACCACATGGACACTGACAGACTCACACATAGACATACTGACACACTGACAGACATACTGGCACATATACACACAGACGGACATACTGAAACACACATACACACAGACACTGACAGACATATTGACAAACACAGACATACAGAACCACACATACACTGACAGACTCACACACACAGACATACTGACACACTGACAGACATACTGGCACACTGACAGACATACATACATACTCACACACACACACACACACACACACACAGACACTCATGCAAAATTTGATAACCACCCTCCAGTTTCTTACCTTTTCCTGGAGGGTGGCTTCCCTGGGGTCCAGTGGGCTGGCTGGGGTGGCTGGGAGTTAAGCTCTCCCGGCCTGGCCCCCTCCGGAACAGCTCCTTCCTCCCGCGCGGCTCCTGTTTCTGTGGGAGGAAGTGACGCGCGGCTGTCACTTCCTCCCAGTGCTGCCGAAAAGCAAGGGCTCACCGATGGGCCCCCATAGTTTGCGGGCAGAGGGCAAAAGGAGCAGCTGTCTTGGGCCCCCCAGCTGGGACAGGGCCCGGGGCAGCTGCCCCGTTTGCCCTGCGTTAAAGACGGCCCTGGCTCTATACAAGGTGAGCAATATTTATCACATTGTTTGCCATATTTTGATACAAACATACTGCACCACAGATCTATTGGTTTCTTTCACGTGTTTACTTTACATATGCCATTTGAGCGGACAGAAGAGAGGATTGTGTCACTGAGTACATTCCTGCCCATATGATCTGTGCCTGTCTTGGAAGGCTTTGTTCCACGTGAGTTGGACCATTGCACTTTATTTGTGTATCTTAGTTTCCTAGGATTTTACACTATTAGCCTTTGTTTTTATTCCCTGTTTTTCTCATCGATATTTCCTTGTCCCTGACCAAGGGTAGGTGTTTTGTAATACACCTTTCACACTCCACTGGTCTTGCTGGTGTTTAGTACACCTTCCCCTTTGGTTGTTAGTATTTGAAATCAATACTTCTAAGATTATCGTGTGCTTAATCTACGATTTTATTTGTCTTATTATTTTGGATCAGGAGTTGTATTTAAACGTAACAGTTACAGCACATTTTTCATTTCTATATAGCAGAGTTACATTATTCACAGTAGGTAGAATTTTACCTGCAATAGAGTGATTGCAAGATACAAACATTGCTACGTGTGTAAATATTCTGTGATGATAAGAAGTAGACTTTGACATTATGATGCTCAGCAGTTTTCCAGTGCAATGAGATTATGATACTACAACTGGGGATTACAATACTATATATATACTTTATTTTAACACAAATGCATTTTTCCTGATTATTTAATGTAGGAAGAGAAAGCAGTAAATATGTTCATTCTAAGCTAGGTCTTATTCACGGGTTAAAATCACCCACTGTTTCATATTCTTTTATTATCATTGTACCGGTTACTCACTGCATTTAGATAAGTGTGCTGATTTGTTTGTTAAAAACAAAAATGTCTATATCATACTCATAGCCATTGCAAATGATCTTTACATTTATAAAAATGTATACTGTCATATCGATGTAACAGTACTATCATATCTGTATGACAAGTTTTATTCCTTCCAAACGAATCCCATAATCGGGTTATTTTGCCTAGTTCATTGGCTGTTAAAGGTGGGAGTGTGACCTAATGGCTGGTAACAACCATATTACAAAGATCAGAAAATAAATTCTGTTTTAACAGTTTTGTTCTCACCAAATGCAATGCATTTGTCATCTGTTTGATCAAGTGCAAGTTGAAACAAATGCATTAGGGGGTGTAACTATTTTGCTTTAATCACATATTCTAAGTTCCTTTACTCCATTTCGGTCTCTTGTGGTTACTTTTTTATTTGCTATAGTAATGTATCATGGTTTTACTTTTTGAATAGCTGAGAATTTACTACTTTAGGAATGCTATGAAGTAGGATCCAGCCTTTGTTCAGTTGTCATGTAGGCTAAAGGGACATTCCAGGCCATTAAAGCACTTTAACTTTCTGAAATGCTTTGTGTGTGATGAGTGTGTCCTCTTTTTTTATTTAAAATAAAATTGGAGATTTCAATAGAAATTGGCACTTTTATAAATTAACCTGGTTACACTCCCTGGCTGTTAATCAGACAACAGTTCTAGTTACTTCCTGGTTGTATAACTCAGTGGAGCTAAACTCAAGGCAGCAATTGCCGAGAGAACCTGCCTTGACTTCTCATTGAGCTGCACTGGGATGTCTCTGATTGGACAGCCACAGAAAGTCTGGGCGGGGTTAGAAAGGTAAGGCTTGCAAAGGCTTCCAAAAAATAGATCTGCAACTTTTGCCAGCTGCTTTTAAACCCAATAACAAAATGCACAATTAAAGGACCACTATAGGCACCCAGACCACTTCAGCTCAATGAAGTGGTCTGGGTGCCAGGTCCATCTAGCTTTAACCCTGCCTGCTGTAAACATAGCAGTTTCAGAGAAACTGCTATGTTTACATTTGGGTTAATCCAGCCTCTAGTGGCTGTCTCATTGACAGCCGCTAGAGGCGCTTCCGCGCTTCTCACTGTGATTTTTACAGTGAGAAGACGCCAGCGTCCATAGGAAAGCATTGAGAATGCTTTCCTATGGACGGACTGAATGCGCCCGCAGCTCTTGCAGCGCATGCGCATTCAGCCGATGACGTTGGAATGAGGAGGAGAGTCCCAAGCGCCAGAGAAAGGTAAGTGTTTAACCCCTTTCTCCCCCTTCAGCCCGGCGGGAGTGGGACCCTGAGGGTGGGGGGGACCTATTAACACTATAGTGCCAGGAAAACAAGTTTGTTTTCCTGGCACTATAGTGGTCCTTTAAATGCATACATGTTTTCATTGGGTGTATCTCTAATAAACAGAATTATTATTATTATTTTTTATTTAGGCAGTGAAGCGCTATTGGGTTTTACTGATAGCAGTTTACAGTTACTTAGTGGGTGGAGACGAAGGTAATGGTTGTCATCACTTAGGAGTGTCGTTTTGCTGCCCCATTGGCATTGTAGGCATTTACCCAGAATCCACAATCATTTGTAAGAAAGGCAAGGTAAGCGTTATGAAACATGTTGGGTAGAGACAAGGTATCCGCCTATCGCAGGTCCTCGTAGAGTGTAAGCGCCTTCACCTATAAATATCCCAAAACACTATGGAATATGTTGGCGCTATATAACTGCTAATAATAATAATAGACCCGCTCCATACAATCCACACCAGCTGGGCATCACCCAATCAGCACCCATCGCTGCACATCACTTGCCTCCTACCTAAATACAATCATTTGTACATACACAAACCCCTCACAGAAGCTACCAACAGACCCTACAAAACATACAAACCAATTGTGATTTTTTTTTTGTAAAATGCTTATTTTGCTCCAAGTTCATAAATGCATTAAACCAATTGCAAATGCTGATGCAGAGTATTAGATTATATTCATAAATGTTCCTTTTTTTAAGTGAGAGGTCACCTTGAATAGGTTTTATGATGTAATAGCTGTGTTTGTTTTACATTACACTTAGTTGTATATACAGTAAAATGTGTTAACACTATATATATATTTTCCTTCCACTAAGCAAGCTTCTGCAATATGCTAAGTATGCAAAATAACTCCAGAAAATCCTGTTTTACAGATCCAGGCAATGCTGAACAAGTCATGTAAATGACAGCAAGAAGTATCTGTAACACGTCTGTTCACTGTAAGTATTGACCTTATACTGTGTAAATTGCAGAACAGTCATAGCTTTAAACGTTGTACAATGTTCAGTGAGTTGATTACAAACAGTACAACAGAGGGCACTCAGATATTGACATGTATGGATTGCAATTCAAAGAGGTGCTCACTTTAAATACCCTGTTCTCCTTCAGGGCTTAGTTAATACACTATATTCTAATATAATACAGTTATACAGCACACTGCATAAAAAAACACACTCTTTATTAGAAGATTCCGAACAACAATTAATCTGTTCAAACCAGAATATATTCACAAGTAGTATATTACATTAGCAAAATATACCAAACTGGTAATCACCATACCTATCAGTAATCCAAATGAAGCATAACGTATATAGCAATAAAGAAACATACAAATAATTGGATTACATACTGAATAGTAAAATGATAGGATAGAGAATCCTGATACCAAAGTATGACTTCCCAAAGTGGAAATGTCAGTCCGAGGCCCCTCCAGGGTAAACCATGCAAAGAGCTCTGAAGTCTTGCGTAGGGAAAATGCCCTGTGTTTGTTTATAAACAAATATATAACATAAACAAAGTCAATTGACTCCTACATGTTAGGGCATTGAGCTGTAAGACTGGATGGGCATGATCTGAACACCAAAACTGCTTCATTAAGCTAAAGTTGTTTTGGTGACTATAGTGTCCCTTTACTGATTTAAATTGCTGGCATAGATATCAGAATAGTTGGTTTGATGGTATGCTTCTATTTGACAAAATTGCATAAATTAATATTGATTTCTGGAATAATTGCGTTATAAATCTGTCAAAATATGACCACTCTTCTTCAAAATATAGTAGTAGACTATGTATGGCACAATATACAAAAGTGTTTTGCACTTGGTTAAGAATGAGTATGTTTGAGAATGTGATAGAATGGCTTGCTCTCCCCGTGTCTCACCCTCAGTTTGTCCTGTATTCTACATGAAGAACTTTGTTAATGTCTTCATTGTGTTGGAAAGGGAAAAGGATCCAACCCTTTCACCTTTGCTGTTAGTTTTTGTGAACTTTGACGTAAATCCATGTATTAAGGTGGAGGGATCAGTTGATAATTTTAGTTTTCTATTGGCTGAAGTGAATTTAAAGGAAAACAGAGCTGAAAGGAAACTGCTTTGGAAGTAGCCACAGACATTAAAAAAAATTCTGGTCATGTATTCTCTGTGTCCAAGATGCAGTTGTTTGTGATGCAGTTGTCTGTGAAACAAACAAAACAAAGACTATTAAATTAATTAATAAGACATTGCCTCAGTAGGTTTGCAGTGTGGTATGTTAGCTAACATTATCCAGCGACCCCTAGCACTATAACTAGTTGGTTTTATTCCAGTGTCATTTCCCAGGTGCCCCTAATAATGAGAGCTAATGGGTGTTAATCCAGTCTGCTTCGAGCTGCCTTTAGCCTTAGAAGTAGTGGGTTTTAATCCAGTGCAATGCTTGAATCTAGCCACTGCTAGCAACTAAACGTTATGCATTGTAGCCTGGTGTGGTATGTTCAGTGCCCCTAGACAGAGAAATAATGGGTTTTAACATGCAAACCGTATGAAGTAGTATTCTGAAGAATTTTTTTTTAACTATTTGCATGTTATTGACTTGTTCAGATTTTCATAGATTTAGCACTGGTTTTAATCTTGCAGAGACAGAATTGTCATGCTATATTGAAGCTGCATGACGTTACTCCCAAGAGTCTCAGTAGAATGTACAGTCTGCTTGAGCATTTTACTACATGACATCATTTTTCAATGATTCCACACAGCGGCTTATGCCTCTTAAACACAGCCCACCCTGTAAAAATAATAGGACATCAATGAGCTAGACAATTCTTCATCATGCTGTAAAAAAATAAATTATAAGCTACTTCACAATGCATGGATTAAATAAAACATTAAGAGATGTAAAGCTACCAATACATTTTCATTTGACGCCCAGGATTTGTTTGGACAAGTAGATCATTTTAAGTATTAATATTCTTATTAATGTTATTGTGTAGATTGTCGTTTCTAAAAAGTTAAAACAAGAGTACCATAACATAGCCGTGGGACCATTTGCTATGGGCAATTCCACCTCCCATCACTAAACAAGAAAATACCTTTAGGCAATTTACTTATTAAATCGCAGTTTACTACCAATTTGGCCAAAAATGAACAGAAAATTTATTGGTTAAAGTGACTCTGTCAACTTCGGTGGTCTTTGATTATTTTTAAACTTCCTCCGAAGGTGACGTCCCTGTCTCTGGCATGTTTGTGGGAATTAAAAAAAAACAACTTTTGTTATCTAATAAGTTGGAACTTGAGTGAAATTCTAATGTAGTTATTATCAGTATTTCATAAAGATTGTAGTTTATGAAATATCCATATTGTGGCAACAAAGCCACTTTAACGGAACCATAAGTACTACAGGGTGTCGTGGTTATAGTACCAGTAATGTAGTCCCCTCCCCTATTGTAAAAAAAAATCAAACCATTTAAGGATTGTTTTTTTTTCTTACCTGGGACCCAGGTTGGTTTGACTACTTACAGTGAGGGTGCAAGGGCACTTCTGGCACCATAACCACTGCAGCACACTGTAATGGTAAATATGCTTGGGGTGTTACTTTCAGGTTTCTAACGACAAGTATACATTAATAATTGTAATTATTCAGGTTATTGTGAAATAAATAATCATGCCACCAGCACAACATTCTACCAATGCATTATGCCTGAGTAAACTTGCCAAGCGTTTGTTAGTTATGGTTTGCTTTGCACTCTGCCTGGACCCATGATTTCAATGGAGTCACTCAAGCAGAATAATTAAATTGTACTTATTTTCTTTCGATCTCCTATAGTGGTTTTGTTCTGTGATTTAGAAAATTGAAAGTTATACAGTAATTTCTTTGGTTAATTGAACAAATTGTATTGAACATTATCACAATTGGCTCCTTCCCTCCCACTTTGGTCTGCATGATTCCATATTGACCGTAAAAGAACACTTAATTAATTGGGATGAAATTCCTGCACGAACAAAAATTGTGAATTTTTACAATAATTAGTGGCTTAATATAAGTAATGATGAAATGACAGTCTAGTTGCAAAATATAGATTGAAATAGGCAAGTTAATTTATTTATTTTTTAATTTGCTTTTTAGGGATAAATTTTGAAAGTCGGTTACTAACATACTGTTTAGTGAATATAAAGATAATTAACTTAACCCTGAATAGATATTGTTTTGAAAAAATGTATAAATATTTCAGAATGCAATGAATGGGTACAGCCCTATGCAAAACAGTGTCTGTTAACAAGTTTATAGTAAAATGAGGTCCAAATGCTATACTTTGCATGACATTTGGATATTCATGAAACATTGATTTAGTGAATTACTTCCAAATTAGAACAGTTTGGACACTTTCAGAAATTTCCTTAACATGCTCAAGGTAAATGGGTTCATATTAATGAATGTTAACTCCCGTCAGAACATCTGTAGTTCAGGGGATGTAATGTAGGGTGTCATCTGCTTCTGGTTAATAGGGGGGCTGAATGAGAACTCTTTATTCTTCTTATTTATCTGTTTTGAACTATTTGGAAATTGAGAAACAACTCTGGAATCATTCAGGAATTAATTACTGTGCACATTGTGAGATATTTGAGGCACTTAAAGGGATTCTCCAACACTATTTTTGTTGCTGAATACTGCACTATTAAGCAGTAGTCTTTTGGTTACTCCCCACATAAAATGCTGAAATAACGTAATAAAATAAGTTTTTACTTACCTAAATCCAGTCCTTGCACCGCACGTGCTCTGAGCCAGCAAGGGACAAGAGAAAGAGATGGAAGGAATTTTTGTTTTGACAAATTCTGTGTTTATTGATTAATCCTATTATGTTTTGGTAAATATGATGTTTTTTCAAAATCAAATTAATTATGGGATGGACTGTTAATATAAACACCTAAGAGCAGATGAACTAATGAACATTTCGTTCCAATATATCAAATGAAAAAAATAGGGACACTTTAATTTCAGTGATGTGAGTAGGAGTGTGACCAGGGCGGTGCTGTTCTGAGAGATATTGGGTGGCTTAATAATAACAATGTATGCAAAGTAAAATTTAATTTAAAAACAAAATCCATGTACCTTACTTTACGCAGAGTGATATCTCCCTCTACATTTGTTGCAGTTTAAACAGACATTACAGTACCATGAATATTATTGCCATGGACCTCTTTTATACAGTCTCAAAGATCAACAATATGGAGGTCGCATAAAGGAAGACATTATAATAAAACAGGGATTGAGGGATTTGGGTCCAAAACAGGGACTGTCTCTCCTAAATAGGGACACTTGGTGGGTATTTTATCACTTTCAATGTATGTGACTCACTTACACACAATAACGAATTAAAGGACCACTATAGGCACCCAGACCACTTCAGCTCAATGAAGTAGTATGGGTGACAGGTCCATCTAGGATTAACCCTGCCTGCTGTAAACATAGCAGTTTTAGAGAAACTGCTATGTTTACAAATGGGTTAATCCAGCCTCTAGTGGCTGTCTCATTGAAAATGCTTTCCTATAGACTTGCTGAATGCGCTCGCGGCTTTTGCCGCGCATGCGCATTCAGTCGATGACGACCGAAGGAGGAGGAGAGTCCCCAGCGCCGAGGGAGCCCGGCGCTGGAGAAAGGTGAGTGTTTAACCCCCTTCAGACCGGCTGGAGAGGGACCCTGAGGGTGGGGGCACCCTCAGGGCACTATAGTGCCAGGAAAACGAGTTTGTTTTCCTGGCCCTGTAGTGGTCCTTTAAGTTATTTTGTGTATTCTGCCCTGTAGCTCACTATATAGAAATCAGGATCTATTTATACAAATAATGCAGATGTGACACTTCTTAATAAATTAAGAGGGTCACCTCTTTTAATCCACATGACATTGGCTTAAGAAAAACCGAAAGACACTGTGCACTATAACCATATATTATATATATATATATAAAGCTGCAGTGGTTATAGTGTTTAAAGTGTCCCTTTAAGAAGCCACTAAGTCGATTTAGCTGCATTACTCCTTACAGTTGTACACAGTTCAGCGTACATAGCCATGACCAATGGGAGTGGTCGTAATTACAGAGAGCCACTGACAGGCAGAATGAATTGAAGGTGACGTCAATAAGGAAGACATTTTGAGGAAAACAATGTATTCATTCATGTGTTTCTAATATTTTTATTACTAGAAAGGGTTAAATATTTACGTTGGGAGTGAGATAGACAACTGTAACTTATACAGTTCTTCAAAGGAGAATTTGTTTAATATACATGGATTTATGTGCCGATGTTTATGACAGAGTGGCTGCCATTTGACCCTTATGCTGTCTCCTTTACTGATGCCTGTTACTGCTCTTGGAAATGTATTGTAGGACCAAATTCCTACTAGGGGGTACTCCTGATTCACCCTTAAAATGTATGTTGTTCAGATTTAGCACTCGAAAAGCCTCTGCTTTTCATTCAGTTATCTAATGAAAACCAAGTCTCCCTCAATGTCAGCTGAGCCCTTACGCACATTGATAACATACAGGTGTGCAGAGTTACTAAGATTACTAAGGAAGATGTTAATAAGAGTATAGAAACTAATAGAAACAAAATATGATCTTTATACATTTATTTATTTTTATTTTACTAGGAAGGATACATTGAGATTTCTCTCATTTTCAAGTATGTCCTGGGTCCACAAAACATTGCATTGATAAAATAGGATACAATATTACAAAAAATACAATATACAAATAATGTGTGTGTATATATATATATATATATATATACTTACACACCTATATAAATTTAACACATAATAGGTAATAAATATAGTCAGCCATGACAGGTGCATTCTGTATTGAGGTATATTGCGATAGATCTCTTAAAAGATTTTAGATTAAATTAATATTTGACTGTGTCCCGTAGTAGTGACCAATGCTTTAAAGAGATACTATAGTGTTAGGAATGCTAACTTGTATTCCTAACATTATAGCTCCCTCTGCCTCCCCATTTCTTGCGCCCCGGCCAATAAAGGGTTAAAATCCCTTTGTGTACATGCCAAATCCCATTGCTCATGTCCCTTTTGCTGGGTTGGCACTCTGTCTCTTCCTAATGTGGTAGAAGCTTGCCTTGCCTACCTATAACACCAATACGCATGCAAGGCAAGCACATTAGGCCCCCTCCAAAGGAAAGCATTGAATCAATGCTTTCCTATAGGAATTTCACTAATACTGGGTGGTTTCATGAGAGAGTGAGGACGTCCAGCGTCAGCTAGGAAACCAAAAGTTGCCTAGCAAGCAGGAAGTGCCTCTAGTGGATGACTGGCAGATGGCTATTAAAGGCTAACTTAGTGTTGCAATGTAAAGATTGTAGTTTCTCTAAAACTGCAGTGCTTTACATTGCAGGACCAGGGCCGCCATCAGGGCATGACAACCGCAACGGAAATTTAAGGGAGGGGGGAGAGGAAGGAAATTTAAGGGAGGGGGAGAGGAAGGAAATTTGAGTGAGGGAGGGGGGAGAGGAAGGAAATTTGAAGGAAGGAAATTTGAGGGAGGAGGGGGGGAGGAAGGAATTTTTGGGAAAGGAAATTTGAGGGAGGGGGGGGAAAGGAAAATTTGGGGGAGGAAAGGAAATTTGAGGGGGGGAAGGGAAAATTGGAGGGGGAGAAGGAAGTTGAGAGGGGGGAGAAGAAGGAAGCTGGAGAGGGGAGAAGGCAATGAGAGGGAAGGGGAGAAGGACATTGGAGAGGGAGGGGGAGAAGAAGGAAGTTGGAGGGGGGAGAAGGAAGAAGAAGGAAATTGGAGGGTGGGGGAGAAGAAGGAAATTGGAGGGTGGGGGAGAAGAAGGAAATTGGAGGGGGGGAGAAGAAGGAAATTGGAGGGGGGGAGAAGAAGGAAATTGTAGAGGGGAGAAGAAGGAAATTGGAGAAAGGGGGAGAAGAAGGAAATTGGAGGGTGGGGGAGAAGAAGGAAATTGACGGGGGAAGGGGGAGAAGGAATTTGACGGGGGGAGGGGGAGAGATTGACATCCATCACACATACACACAATGCACCCCTTGCACACAGAAAAACACACAATGCATTACACACAGACACACATACACAAGCAATGCATCCCTTACACACAGCAACACACAATGCACCCCATACACACACTCAATGCATCCCTTACAGATGCACACACTGCATCCCATACATACACAAACTCACCTTGCAGCCCTTACACATACAAACACAGATTCACACAATGCATTCCTTACAAACATCAGGACATCCCCCCCCACACACACTCCACCCTCTGTGAACAAACTCATTGGTGGAACATGAAGGTGGACCCTGGGACCCAGACCTTGCGCTGTGTAAAGGGCCCTCAAAAAAATGGAGCTGCTTCCCGTTGATCCCAAAACATTGATTTTTGTGACCACAGTTACAAAACGCCTCCAGAGAGCCTGTTCTACACCAGACCAGTGGAGCCAGACTGCAGCTAGAGCCCATCATCATCCTCATCTGGTTGTAAGTAGGCAATCTAGTATATTATTTGTGGCACTAATCTCTAATTTACCTCACATTAAAGGGACACTATAGTCCCCAGAACCACTACAGCTTAATGTAGTGGTTCTGGTGTCTAGCCTGTCCCTGCAGGCCTTTCAATGTAAACACGGCGGCACTGCAGCACTGGTGTTAGTTAACATGGCAGATCATATGGGTGGGGCATTGTGATGTCACATGGGGGGGCGGCAAACTTTACTTTTGCATAGGGCGGCAAAAATCCTTGCACCGGCCCTGCAGACACTGCATTCCTGTCGGCGGACTCGGGTGCAGGCACTGGGGGGCCCAGACCGTGAGCTGTGTCAGGGGCCCCAAAATTTCTGATGGCAGCCCTGTGCAGGACTAAGGGCATTAGGACGAGAGTGAGCTGAAGTGGTCTGGGTTCCTTTAGTGTCCATCTAAGCATCAAATGTTGGACCTGGATGTTGGATATTGCACAATGTAAAAGAAAAAAAAGTATTGTTCACACATGTAACGGATCGATGGGCACCCCGACTGGGTACCTCCGTTGAAGGATGCTCCTAGCGCTTCCTGAGGGCTCCAAGCACTCCAGCCGACACCATAACCACTGTAGACTCCTTCAGAGAGCAAGACAGGAACAAGCTCTTACAAGAGCTCAGTGATTATAGCAAGGGAATATGCAGAGCATAGCAATCCCTTGTAGCAGATTCCCCCAATAAGAGACGGCACTCCAAATTGAGGGTGAAGTAGAACTGACAGAGCTGTGGGTTTATTGTTCTTATATGCACATTCTTACACATTAGTACCACCCACAGGGTTTTGTAATAAACGTGCAATACACTCAGACACTCACACACAAAATCCTCCCCTCTGCACAGTTTTACACAATATTCATAACTTTAAAAGTATGCATCACATTCACATAAAACATTTTCAGAATCAGCATACTCCAAATACAAACATACGGCAAAATCATACAAATTGGTCCAGTGGGTCAAAAGTTAGATCAACGTCCTTTGTGACCAAATGAAGCATGGCTTTTCTGCCCAAAACCAGTTCCACAGAGTCTTCTATGCTGGAGATAATTGGGAAGTAATCCAATTATCTCCAAGGACAGAGGAAAAACTCCATTAGCCACATGGTAGCAAAATACAATAAAATACATAAAAATATATAACTGTGCAGCTATTGCATAAAACAGGTACATTCAACATATCCCCAGATAGCTTAGATCTGAGCGCACATTATTACTGAAGGCCGTCCAGATCACATACATACAGTTCAATTGCCATGGAGCCAAAGTCTTTCACATAGTCTTTCGTTATTTGAATGGGCTCCATGGCATAGCTATATGGGGTAACACTGCTTACATAGGGAAAGTACCGAATGACCCAGCTTTCAGGTCTTTGCAGGGAAAATCAAGCATTTCAACATGGGGCCATAGTCACAGGGCAGGAGGCTGGCAATCAGTCTTCTCCAATGCCCAGTGGTGAGGCTGGTTCCGCCACAACACACATGTCAAAAAATGTGGAGTAAATTAGCCCTGATCTTTAAGGAGTTAAATGGATCATCTCAACTGCTGCTCCATGGGTAAATATAGAAGAATGTCCCCTTGTGGCTAGACTCTTACTGCACCCCCAGTGGTAGACCAGTTTAAAAGCTGTTGAATTGGACAGCTGGATTGTTCATTTCAGATTTAAAAGCATACTGCAAATGCAGTACTTGTTTAGAAGCACATACAAGTGATGTAATTGTGTTGGCATCAGTTTATAGAGAACTGAGTGTTGAATAAAAACACACTTTCTCTTTCAAGTGGCACGAAAGCACTTTGCATCAATACACCCTTGTAACAAACAGTAGCAAAGTGAACTGGATTGGCACTCATCGCTAAAAATAATTGTTCAATGTCACCCAACTCGCTGGTGCCTATTAGAACAACCTGAGGATTACGCAGGTGCTGAAGTTTGATTATGTACCAGCTCATCTGTTTTGTAAGCTATATATAAACAGGTCCTTAGCATGACATACAGACACTACAAGCACAATAACAATGTATCTCCTTGCAGGAGACCATCTGTCTTTCTTAAAATGGGTGCTTCGGACTCCAAACTATTCGAGCTACAAACTATTCTTCCTTTTCTATCCATCCAAATGTGTGTATGGAGTCTGACATGCTAATCAAATCCCTACCTCTCATAACAATTTGTATGATAGAGTGCAATCTGTGTCCACATACAAATCACAGGATTGAATGATCACATTGCAGCCATATTCATTATACTGAGCTATCGGTAAGTCCAGCTCACATCAACTTAGGCATCCATTCTATACACCCTTTGTGATTGTCAGGGTTACTAGTTGATCCATCCAGCACGTAGAATTGTGTCACACAGATGACTAATAGGTAACGTATTACCGGGCCTTAGAATGGCCAGACTTAACGTACCAAAGAATAGTCAGGATACTTGCCGAGGTCAGGGGATACAGAAAGAGACAGGACAGTAGGATGACGACCGTTATTAACAAAGAATGGGCTGTGACCAGAAGAGTAATGGGTGGCATTGTTCCTAGAAAACTCGGCCCAGGGTAGTAATTCGGACCAATTATCTTGAGTGCTATTTACAAAACAACGCAGATATAACTCTAATGACTGGTTAGCCCTCTCAGCCGTGCCATTAGTTTGGGGATGGTAAGCGGAAGAAAAAGACAATTCAATGCCCAACTGTTTACTGAACGCCCTCCAAAACCGAGACACAAACTGAGAGCCCGTCAGACACAATATTTTGAGGAATGCCATGCAGTCAGACAATCTCACGTATAAAGAAAAGAACCAGGTCTTGAGAGGATGGCAATTTTTTAAGTGGAATAAAATGAGCCATCTTGGAGAAACGGTCAACCACCATAAGAATGGTGGTATAGCCATTGGAACTTGGAAGTTCAACGATGAAGTCCATTGACAAGTGGGACCATGGAACATTAGGTACAGGAAGTGGTTGCAACAAACCACAAGGAAGCTTATGAGGGACCTTAGAAACAGCACAAACTGAACAAGCCTGCACATAGTCCTTCACATCGTTTTTAAGGGAATCACACCAAAATGATCTCGTGATCGCAGATATGGATTTATTGATACCTGGGTGTCCAGCAGTCACATTGTTGTGAAACACCCTCAGCACATTCTTTCTTTCACCTAATGGAACAAACAATTTGTCCAGTGGTTTATTGCATGGTGCCTGAGACTGAGCCTCCATTATAGCACAAAGCAAGGGAGAAGACAGTGAAAGAACAGTAGAAGCGATGATACATTCAGGAGGCACGATAGGGCATGTCTCGTGTTCCTGTAAAGACTCAGTATCAAACTGTCTAGACAAGGCATCAGCCTTCACATTTTTGGGACCAGGTCTGTAAGTTATAAGGAAGTTAAAGCGAGACAGAAACAAAGACCATCTAGCCTGTCTAGAAGATAGACGTTTAGCATCCCCTATATAAGCCAAATTCTTATGGTCTGTAATGATCAAAAGGGGATCCTTGGAACCTTCCAAAAGATGTCTCCACTCTTTAGGCGCTAGGACAATGGCCAACAATTCTCTGTTGCCAATATCATAATTGCGCTCAGCGGGAGACAACTTTCTGGAAAAGTAACCACAAGGATGCAAAAGGGTGTCCAGACTCTCCCTTTGAGAAAGAACCGCCCCTACCCCAGTTTCGGAGGCATCGACTTCCAATATGAAGGGTTTGCTGGTGTCAGGATGTCTCAGTATGCCGGCAGAAGCAAACCTTTGTTTAAGAAGTTCAAAAGCTTCTCTAGCTTCCTTAGACCATACCGTACTACTAGCCCCCTTACGTGTCATATTGGTGATGGGGGCTATTACAGAAGAAAACTCCTTGATAAATCCTCTGTAATAGTTCGCAAACCCAATAAATCTTTGGATGGCTTTTAGTCCGCTAGGCACTGGCCACTGTATAACAGCCTCTAGTTTCTTAGGCTCCATCTGAAAACCAGAGGCAGAAATGTTATACCCCAAAAACTGTACTTCAGTCTAATCAAACAAGCATTTTTCCAATTTACAATAAAGTTTGTTTTCCAGTAAAGTCTGCAATACTTGTTTGACCTGTTTGTGGTGGGTTTGAAGGCCAGGGGAATAAATAAGAATATCATCCAAATAAACCAGGACAAAAGAATAGATATAATCCCTGAGTACATAATTAATAAAATCCTGGAATACGGCCGGTGCATTGCATAGCCCAAAAGGCATAACAAGGTACTCATAGGGCCCACATCTAGTGTTAAATGCCGTTTTCCACTCATTCCTTGATTCTTACCAAATTGTATGCACTCTTGAGATCCAGTTTGTTAAAGATCTTAGCACCCTGGAGTCTATAAAACAATTCTGAAATGAGAGGAATAGGATAGGCATTCTTAACAGTAATCTTATTTGATGCTCTGTAGTAAATGCATGGACGTAATTCTCCATCTTTCTTTTCTACAAAAAAGAATCCTGCACCAGCAGGTGAGGATGATTTCCATATACGGCCCTTGTTTAGTGAGTCTTTGATATATTCTTCCATTATTTTACTCTCCTGTGGCGGTAAGGCATATACTGCCCCTTTAGGTGGCATAGCGCTGGGTAACAGATTTATGGAGCAGTCATATGACCTGTGAGGAGGTAAGATATTGGACTGACTCTTACTAAATACTTCCTTGACCTCCCAGTATTGTATGGGAACTTTGGGGGTTTGAGGTATAGTAGTGGGTAATTTAATGGTACCCACTCTCTTGGTGAGGTGTAACATACACTTCCCATTACAATCCTTGCCCCATTCCAATATTTCCCCATTAGCCCAGTCAATATGAGGGTTGTGCTTACTAAGCCAATGAAAGATTTTTGTCAACTATGATGATATTATCAAGGAGAAATCTATTATTGTTATTCCCAGAGGACGTATCCATTACACCTAAGACCTGTCCCCTTAAGGTTCTTAGGTGCGGTAGTTTTCCGGACTTATGGGACAAGTACTCCTCAAATGTCCTTTTTCACCACAGTATATGCATAGACCCTCTCTTCTCCGATTTTGTCTTTCTGCCTCGGACAGTCTAGTGACACCCAACTGCATAGGTTCGGGTTTGGACTGAATAGAGAGGTCAGGAACAACCGGTCTGGAGAAATGAGGTGCTAATGGGAAAGCCATATGTCTGGTTTTATTTCTGGTTCTGAGTCTATTATCAATTAGCATAATAAACGTAATAAAATGATTGAGTTTTGTGGGTAGTTCTTTGGCAGCAATCTCATCCAACATAGTCTCAGATAATCCCTTCTTAAATGCTGAGATTAATCGCTGTTAGTCCAGTCTACCTCGGAAGCCAAGGTGCGAAATTCTGTGGCATACTCCGAGATAGACCGGTTCCCTTGTCTAATATGCATTAGGGCAGTGGAGGCATCATCCTCCCTGCCTAATGGTTCAAACGTAAGTTTAAATTCCGCAAGGAATTCCTGGTAATTGTGTGCAATGCTCCTACTACTCTCCCATAACGGATTAGCCCAAGCTAAAGCTTTACCTTTAAGTTGGTTCATCAGGTAACCAATTTTAGCTCTGTCAGTGGGAAAAGATCCCGGTGAGGCCTCAAAATGATACTCAATTTGGTTAATAAATCCCCGGCATTCTTGAATATTACCATCAAAATGCAAGGGATGAGATAGGGAGATAGTAGGTGCCTTATGTACTACAGGAGGTACATTAGTTGGAGGTGACACAGTTGGAGAAGCTGCAGGTTGCAGATGCGCTGTTCGAGTAAGGAGCATACTGAAAGCCTGGGCAAACTGATCCATACGGTGATCATTCTCCACTAGCTTTCTCTCACAAGCAGCTATGTGCTGACACAATTCTACACGATCTATGGCCATGTCGTAATGTCAGGATTACTAGTTGATCCAGCACGTAGAATTGTGTCACACAGATGACTAATAGGTAACGTATTACCGGGCCTTAGAATGGCCGGACTTAACATACCAAAGAATAGTCAGGATACTTGCTGAGGTCAGGGGATACAGAAAGAGACACAACGATAAGAGAAAGCCAGAAGTCAGGGATACAGAATACAGGGAAGTCAAAATCAAAGCCAAAGTCAAAAACCAGAAGTAACTTGAATCAGGAACGCGCTCTCGGACAACCACAAGAGAAACCACGACAGGGTACAGAGCAGGATGAGAACTGGGCCTAAATACCCCTCCTCTGGATCTGATAGGCTGTAATCACCTTTGACCCCAAAGGCAGTTACCAAGTTACCATTTGCATAATTACTGCTCAGCATTAACCCTTCTGTGGATTTGGTTGCTGCTCGGCACAACTTTTCCTGTGTGGACAGTAAATGCTATTAACCACATTTTTATAATCGGATGAATACGTGACAGTGATATTGGATTGCTGTTAAGTGCAGAATCATATATCCCATAAACCTCTGCTGGGTAGACTGCACTGATCAGTTTGAGAATCACCTGGTTAAAGGAACACTATAGTGTCTGGAATATAAAAATGTATTCCTGATACAATAGTCATGGAATGCAGCATTAGGTCCCTGGTCCCCCTCAGATTACCTTTAAAAGGTGAGTTTACTCACCTTTTTTTTTGCAAAACCCCGGCTGGCCCACCTGGCTTGATGATCTTGGCCAATCCAATGCTTTTCCATATGAAAGCATATTGGGATGCTATTGTGCATTCACAGCAAAACGCTGGGCCTATCAGCATCTCTAGCATCTTGAATCACTGCATCTCTATGGGGAGTGTTCAGTGCAACATGCAGAGCATGGAGACGCTGATTGTAGGTGCTGTACATTATGCACTTCTTACACAGGAAGCACCTATAGTGGCTGTCAGAGTGGCTGTCACTAGAGGTGTTACTAGGCAGGAAAGTAAACACTTTTTTTTTCTCTGAAAAGGCAGTGTTTACATTAAAACGACTGCAGGGACATGCTGAATACACCAGACCTGTCATTAAGACCTGGCATAAAGGCAGTGGCCCACTCCTGACATATTTAGCCTATCTATGTATTTTATATGTGCCCTCATTTCTTGCAGCCTTGTGTGAACACTACAAACTAACAGATATGGGAAATTGGAAATTACTGTGAGGTAATGGTAGGTCCCATAGTGACTCTGAGCTGATACCATGCTTAGTGTATCTACAAGCTTGGAGCCAAGACTGAGATTATCATAGACTGCGGTTATGGTGCAAAGTAGGATGAATGGAGGAACAAAGGTGATACCAAAGACTGGGAAAGCATGCTTCCAGATATGAGGGTCCTTAGATAACAATCAGAATGTATCTAGACAATAGAATCAGTTCTTCACTTTACTTACATCTAAATAAAAGATTCAAATAAAAAAGGTATTTTAAAAATCCATACAAATCAATAAAAAAAAACAAAAAAAAACAATAAAATATATTATGGAAAAAAGTCTGTATTGGGGGACACAGAAATAAATTTAGCTGGGAATGATTATTACTGCTGAGAGCTCTTCTTCAAAGGCGGACTGCTCAAAGAATGTTTGTTATTATTTTAATGCATTATCTGTATATTCTAATTTGAAAAAAATTGGGGTACCTTCTTGTAGTGCTTTAAAATGGTTAGAATTGAGGAGGAAAATTGAACATTGAAATATTGAAATGTTTTATCAGAACAAACAATTGAGTTTTTACGTCTTTTATCTGAATTTTTATAAATTTTTAAACATGCTGTTTTCACTCGGTTTTGCAATCAGCAAAAACATCAGGGATTCTGCCTGTTGAGAACACAATGTAATCTGACACATTTGCTTGGCTGCTAATATTTCCTCCAGCCGCTGTCCTTTCTGTGCTGTCGGTGTAAAGAATTGTGATTGCCCTAGGCAGGACTTTGTACTTTTTTTTTTTTTTTTTTATCTGTATAGCCATTTAGCAAACATACAACTAAAGCCAACTGTTTTTATAATGTGTTTGTTGAAAAAAAATGTTTAGGAAACACAAGTAGGAAGCTGGTTCTTTTAACAGGAAAGTCTCAGCTCCAATAAGTGTATTTTTTTGTGACCCTGCCTTAAAATATAGACAGACTAAGCTTTGATCCCTCATATGTAATTTGTTCATAGAGGGGCTTTGAATGTAAAATCTCACACAGTTATTCACCAAATAAGAATTGTTAGGAATTCAAAGTGAATTTTAAATTTAGAGTGGCTTTGTCACCCCCTGACCACCAAAGAAAATAACATTTACAATTACAATTATTTTTATAGCACTAACATAGTCCACAGTGCAGTACAATAGATACACATTTAATTCTAACATGTATGACATACGGGAACAGTAGGTGAAGAGGACCCTGCCCAAACAAGCGTACAGTCTAAAGGATTTCATAAGGATAACATCGTTTATAAAATGCTCATAAAGACTGTTTTGGAAAAAAATTCTGAAATTCCAACTCAGTTAAAAGGTATCACAAAACACTACTTTGTCTTATCTTTTTTTTCGACACTTGACAAAAAGGTGTAACTACCGCTGTAAAGAGTTGTCAAGCACTCAGCTGTCGTGGTTACGCAGAATCCCGCGGACTGGTGGGATCCTCCATACAAATCAGTGTTCTACTCTACTATTTGCGAGAGTCCAGCACGAACGTTGGCTCCTGGCAGATGAAGCACCAGGAGCTGAAGTGAACCAGCAAGAAGACAATTGTGGCGGCCGTGAGGGAAAGGTTCAGCTAAGTAAACTCATCTTTCCCTCACCCAACGGTCATCTTACTGCAAGCGGCAAAGTCACAGAGTCCTAGTGACAGAGCCACTTAAAGGCCAAAATGGCCAACTCCGCTAGACAGCTATTCTTCCAGTTAAGCTACCTTTGTCCTTACATGAAATTCATGTTGAATTCCTAACATTTTTCACTTTAGTAAATAACCCTGTTAGATTCAAGGCTAAATAAACATGAAGAAGGTCTTGCTTAGGGGTTTCTTTTAAAGGTTATACATCAGATTTCAAAATCACTCATAAGGGCAAGCTAAAAAGCATAAACATATGCTGGCACTCAGACCTATAAACGGGTGCAGATATCGAGGTTAACCACCTATAAACAACCTCAAAATATAAATACAAAATCTAATGAATGATACCACACTCCAAAAAAGGGGTGTTTTATTTCATATTAAATACAAGATCAGAGACAATCCATAGTGTATTATTTCATACCATAAAGATTGTGCAATGGAAAAAACCTTAATTCATATTATGTTCAAGATCAAAGGCATAGTTCATGTTATGTACATAAATCAAAAAGCAATCTATAGTGCATCGTTTCATACCAGAAGGTTTATATATAAAGGACAAACAATATCCTAAATCATGACCATAACCTAGATGGATACTGTAATATGCATTTCAAATATTGTGAGTTCATATACTTAGGGGTTCCACCCACAAAAACATATATTTCTGTCAAGACCAAAGAATTCTTTAAAATTGTTCTTCTTGCCCCACTTTGGGTTAACTCTTTTAAGCTACTCAGAGGCCTCTTAAAAAAAAAAAGACAAAAGTTCTTTTGAAAAAAAAATAACGAGAAATAAAAAATGGAAAACACAAACAAAATATATTGCAGCCTTTAAAACCAGAAAACAACAAAAATAAAGTCAATCTGTAGGAGTACTCAAAAGGAAACAAAAATGATAAGTAATGGTAGCAAGATTGTGAATGTGGGTGTGAGTCCTTGTTGTAGTGGTAGTTTGCTGTCCAGAATCAATTTGTGCCAGCAGAGTTGTTAAGGATCCTTCGTAGGAGGTCTTCCTTAATGTGTGGATGATAGTTCCAGGTAGTGATGAGGCTGTATCTGTAGATGTGATCGGGATCCAGGTCACCAGGGAGGGCGAAATCAAGAAAGAGAGTAAGCGCTAAATAACAATAAGGCTGCAACCCTTAAAGGGGATCCCTGAAAAAAACCTTCAAATACAATAAGAATAAAAAACAAACAAAGATAAAGGTTGCGCCAAAATAGACAAATAAAAATATATATATAAAAGTCTTAGCTGAAAAGATCTTCTTAAGATCAAATAGTCTATAAAGTGCTTGTTCAGGAACAATGTCCTCGCTGTCCTTCCCCAGGGGGATCCAATATTATGAAACGATAAAACAGATAAAAAGACCAAATAGTGTAGTATGTCCAATATGGTACAAGAAATAATAAAAGAAGATGGTAATGCACTCACATGTATTAGAGCTATAGCTAGCTCTAGTATGAAAAGCGTATAGCGGTATGATCCCTGCTTATGGGATATGGTGCAGGCTTCTTCTTCCAAGGGTATATTCCACACTCAAATAAAATAAAAGAGAGACGACCAATAGTGCTCACTGGATAAAATAATATACATTAAATACATAAAAAGGTACTCACAAGAGTGGAGCAGGCAAATCGCTCCTTGACGACAGCGTTGATGGTATGATCCCCACCTCAGTATTGCTTGGAGTCCAGAAAGATAAAATGCCAGGTAAAAATAATAAAAAATATATAAGGTGTATTAAAAGATAATTGGCACAGTAAAAGGTGACCAAAAAATCTTTAATAAAATAAAATACACAATATAAGTATACTTATAGTTTGTATTTTATTCTATTAAAGATTTTTTGGTCACCTTTTACTGTGCCAATTATCTTTTAATACGCCTTATATATTTTTTATTATTTTTACATGGCATTTTATCTTTCTGGACTCCAAGCAAAAACAAACATACAAAATTAAGCCTTGCTCAAACCCCAACTTCTATATTATATACATTATGTATCTGATGAACCTTATAAGACTGAAATAAATGACCCAGATGTCCTATACATTAATTGGCCCTAAAAAAGCTTATTAAGAAATTAGAAAGTATTCTGAACTGGGGCCTAAAATGAGAACTGTGAGGTGGCTTGAAAATGAGAAAAGGGATATCCCGTATGCTCATTTCCATATTATGTGTGGCAGATTGAAAAGTTTAATAAATATTTTTTTATTTATGCTCTGTATCAGGTGGGATTTTGTGTTTGCATTTTTTGTTAATCCTTGAATGTGAATATTCCTTAACAGTATATTTGAGAATATACTTAAAACAATGGGGAGTTTTATGACCATTTCAACAACCTAGTTGTTGGTTATCCAAATACGGAATCTCTGGATCAACAGTTAACCTTCAACTTTCCATTATCTATAAAATCTACTTTTTTTTTCCTGCAAATCCTGTTTTACCAACAAAAGGAGCCACACCTGTATATGTTAACTCAGCTGTAATTACATCATGTTGTGTAGGGAACAGTTCAACGAGCCATGGCATCATATATATGAAAAGCATGGCTTCGAAAGCTTACAGAAGATAAAACCAGACATGTCCTTAACTAATATTCATGTTACAGACAGTTTTACCTAATGCATGATAAACCTTAAAAATCTAGTCTGGTGACTAATAACCTACTATTCATAAGGGGATTTAAGACATTTCTTGAAAATAAATGCATTTTTATTGTAATAATTTCAGGAAGCTCAAGGTGACAAACTAAGAAAAAAAAAAAAAAACTTGATTTTTTTATGTGTGTATGCTAATCACCTGACCACAACCATTACACACAGCCAGCACAGACCATGTCCTCACACAATGAGGATGCATAGAATGAGACACTCATATTTTTTTTCTTTGTGTATGCTAATCCCCCGACACTCAATGTTAGAATACGTTAAAGAACAATGTATGGCTAATTAAAAACTTTCAGTAAAAAATAAATCAATTAGGTCATATAATTTTAGGCATAATAAATGTAGATGTGTCAATAATTTAGCTTATATCTAAAATATACTGGAAACTAAAAGTGGGCCTTGAACTTTCCTGTGTAAATTGTCCAACAGGGCACTATGAATAAGGTCCCCCTACATTTACAGTTTACCTGTTAAAAAAATAAAAAAAATAAAGCATTTTACTTACCTGGAATCCAGCACCAGGTGAAACTCCCAGCACTTACCTCAATGCCCTTTCTAACATCACAGAGCTCTTTCCTGGTCCAATCACAAGCTGTTCCATAAAGAAGCCTGGGACTGCACCTTTTACAAACTTCAGTTAGCAAGCATGTATTCTGAGCCGGCGAGAGAAGTGAGGGAGGAAGAAGGGGGGGTGACTGGGAGGGGGATTTCATTTAAAAATGACTATACAATTAACAAGGGAGGCGTGAGGGGGCACCTACAGGGTGGGAGGGATGGGGCAGCTATATTCCCCTTGTAGGCGCTCTGCTTTCAAGTGGAAGATTATCACGTTTGTCACCAGCATTTTAATCTCCAATTAGTATGTTGTGATAAATCTTGGAGCCGCCTTTTAAATGCATGTCCAGAAAATAACTTGTGATTGAGGTAGACCATCGGGCTCACTGACTTGTTGGAGACTTGTATGTACATGAAACATTGGCACACATTGGGCTGCCGGCAGATATGGTGGAGGTTGCAAACACACTTTGACAACTGTCGGCCGTTTGAGATTTCCAATACATTTGAAGATTACAATTTAGAGGGATGAAATTAAAAGAGAATGGAGCTGCATATGGCATTAGTACATGGGTAATTCTCCACTGGAAACATCATTACTGTGTATATGGGATTTGAAGAAGTAAAGATGTCAGAACAGCCTTTATTCTTCTGAGTGCCCTGCGGTATACTGCGTCACGGTAGTAGGGTTATTTCCCAAACTGTCCATTTTCAAGAATTCAATTTAATGAAAAAAACAAAGGCACAAATAGACCAACTGTGACTATGGATAAGTTGGAGACAATTTCCAGATCAGCTTTGTTTGCCTCTGTTTTTATCATGCGATTTAACTCGTGAAAATTTGGATTTTCTATTTTTTTTTTTTTTTAATAACTCTTCGGGTTATTCTCTAAAATGAGAATTGAAAGTGAATTTCAAATTAAAGGTCAAAATAGCCAAATTGGAAAAATTCTGGAATCCAATCACTGTGGCCTTAAATTGGAAATTCACTTAGAATTCTCACTTTAGTAGATAGCCCTGCCTGGTATATTGACTCAAAACCTCTAAACAGTTAAGCAGTGAATTTCCATATGTAGGCCAAAATTGTTTCAAGAATCTTGCCAATTCCTCTCAAATACCGTATATTCCAACTTGGCATGTCAGTCTACAAATATAACTATTCAACGGATACACTCATTAAAAGCAACCATTGGCACATGTTAAATTACCAGTGAATTCACAATCCTTATTGCACAACACATCCAAATTGGTTATGTTTCACATGTTTGTAATAATTTATATCTATGTCCCTGCATATTGTCATTTAGCTGAACATAGATGGCAGCCTGTCTTTCGGAGATCTTATTAGATCTCTGTCTCTGTGTTGTCCTTCTTATGTATTCCAAGCAGTGAGAATCCGATTACTTGGTAATGGTTGTATTCATTGAACTAGCAATCTGCACAGTCAGCCTGATTTATGTACTATTCCCATAACTGTACTCTGGCGGCAAAAGGAGAAATACTATTTAGTGTCTCTTGTAAAAGGTTAATTAGTTAGTTTCTTTTGATTTCAATTAGTTTTTCTTTTACAGTTCGTGAATTAGTTTCAATTTAGCTGTTAGTGGTCTGAAATTTTACAGAAATGACTCACACATTGTTTTCAGCTGGTATGGACGAATCAAAATGTACAATTCCTTTTAATTTACACCCACACTAACCAATCCATTGGGGATTTACTTGTAGAGTCCTTTTCGTTAGATAAATCCTGGACAGATTGCTTTGTTCAGGTGTAGATTAAGCCTTTAAGGACCAAACTTCTGGAATAAAAGGGAATCATGACATGTCACACAGAGGCAGAGGAAGATTAGTTAAGTCCTTGGTTTTACAGCAAGTACATATAGTTTTGAATATGTGTATTTCAATTTGTACTTATTTTTTTTTTTTTTTTTTTATTGGAGACACCATTTGTATTAGATTTCAAACATACCTGTGTCTAAGCGGATGGTTTCCTACGCAGAGGCTTGTGTTTATTTGTTTCAAGCAATGATGTACATTAAATGTATATAGACTTTGCCAAATTTAAATTATCAAAGGCATAAAACTAGCGTGATAATGCAGCGTTCAGGCATTTGTAGTCAGGGTTTTACGACTATTGTATCGGCCGTTAATGGACAAGTTTCAGATGCATATTTTTTAAAAGCATGGACAAATGCGGTATTTATCAGTCTACATGTGGCAGCAATTAAATTATAAGCCAGATTGTAGCCAATGTGTATGCGCTGTCCCCTGCGCTAAATTGGACCAGGTCCAACCAGAATAAGGCAATGAACGCTTTAGGTCTATTCTGAACTTCGCAGTTTGCTCAAAGTGTAGTCACTTAATGGTAAGCCTGTGTAAGTTAATCACGTGGAATTAAATTGCGGTATATGGTAGCGAAGCCAGATTAATGGGCGGATATCCGTTCTGTGGGGCCCCTATAAAACCTATATTTGGGTCCTGCATTAAGTATATGCCGTTTTAGGCGTGTTCGTCCTATAATGCGTCAATCTGGCGCAGATTGTGACTAGTTATGTAATACAGGTAAAGAGATATATAGAAACAGGCTGGTGCAACTTTAAAAGGGTTCATTCTATAATGCGCAATCTGGTGTAAGCTGTAGCTAATGATGCAATACTGGTAAAGGAACATTTAAACAAACAAATTATATATAATGCACAAGGGCTCCCACATTAAAGAGAAGCGGCATGTTTGGCCCAAGCAGAGCAAACTTAATATAACAATGTGAGTCACTTCACTGGATGGGGCGATATGGCGCCCGGTGTGAGAAGTCTGTCCAGCACGGCTGTTTCAGCCTCCTAGATGGTATGTCCGCTAGCTTCCCTCTGGTATGGCTTTGCCTTAAGTTAGCACGGGGTAAATGTGCGCTTGGTGAGCTAGCTGTTCCGATCCGAGTCCCCGAGGCATCCCCAGTTATGGCAGGCCCCCTTCCCCTCCCCAAGGCTTGCGTCCGTGCCCGTGGTAAGTTCCACCGCGCTGTGGGCACTCAGGGACCGCAGCTGTCCAGCGTCCCCCCCCGTAGAGTCCGCCATGGCTCCAGCCTCCTGCACCTCCCCAGCTCCAGCAGAGTACCCCTAGAGCTCCAGCCCCAACTTGCCTCCGGTTTCCAGTATCGTACATGGCGTCGGCGCGCGCACCCCGGCCACCAGTCCGCCGGGGGGCCTGCGCACCCCAGCTCCACAGGGCTCACAGATTTGGGGGGCATATTCTCCGGACCACCACCAAATCCGAAGGTCGGGGCCGGCTCCCTGCCAACCGGTCCGCCGCCCAGAGGGGTCTAGTCGCAGGGCCCGCCATCCCGGGGGCCAGGGTGTCTCAGTGTGGGCTGCTGTCGCATTTGCGCGGGGCGCCCCTCGTGGCTGTGTGGGCGTGGAGCCGTGTCGGTCATTTTAGCTCCATGCGGGAAAGCGTCATGCACCGGGTAAGCCCCCATATGCAGCCTCCAAAGCTCGGACTCTTGAGCCGGGATCACCCGCCCGGCCGGGAGGGGGGGGAGCGGGGCCGGACCCAGACTCCTGCATGTCCCTTGCGTGTTGCGGTCCCCTCTCATGCTGTGTGCCTCAGGCCTCTGGGGCTTACTGTGCTCCGTTTATGCTGCCCGCTTGATGAGTGCCGCGGTACTTTGTGCCTGGGTTCATTACTTCCTGGCTGCCTGTCTTCTCGTCGGTAGTTAGTCCCTATGTATTTTTTTCTTAAGGGTTCTTTAAGCACCAAAACCACTACAGCAAGGTTTTAAACCATTTTCAAATAGCCTAACAGTTGGGTCTACCAGGTGCCCGAGGTCCAGCCTCCTGTTCAGATATCACTAAAGCAGAAGTCTCTACTGCCTCATTGGTGAAACCAGTTCCATTCATCTTTGCCTTGGCAGGTGGGCATCCCCTCCCATTGGAGCAACTAAATATCCTCCATTTGTTTAAATATGAATATGGATTTGGGAAGAGCACAGGTACGTATTGTTTTTCTTTGGTTGTAAAATTAAAACCGAATTGCAAAATAAAAGCCAAAGTAACCAGTATGGCAAAACCGCATAATTGGATTATTTTGCCAGCTCAGCTGTTTTGGTGTAAATTTTGTAGTCTAACTCTTGGTTCACTAACATTCACTGTTAAGTGAATAATCCTTTTAGGTTGTGGAGCTGTAATATGTATTATGTCATATAACACCCATATATATATTTGTTTTAAGATTGTGCTGTAGGTAGGTAACTAGCAAATCTCAGCCCAGACTATTTTAGAAGCAATCTTCAAATCACAGGCAGGCGATTTACTTAAAATGATATAAACTAAATTGATATGACATGTACATCTTCCAAAGCATGACATTTCTGGTTGTCTGTTCACAGCTATTAATCACATCTGTATCTCTGGTTACTATGCCAGCAAAGTGAGGAATCCTTTTGAAGAGATTTATGATACTGTATACTCACAAGCTGAAAGAGGCTACTCACACACACACAGTCTTTGGTTTCTTACTTTTGTTCTGCTTGCTATGTTTTAATATATATATCTATTAGTGCTAGACAGGGATTATGTAGTACCCATTAACCAGTGTTTGCGTAGTGCCTCCCCAGTGTTATGAAATTCAATCATGGATAATAACAAAGATTACTCTGGTTTCCAAGTGCATCCTGGAGATGTTACCTTAGTCCAACATCCAGGGGATGTTACAATTACCCAATGTAATGGTACTCCTTTTATCTACCTTGGAAGGATGAAAGGCTGAGGAAGCCCTGCCAGGGTTGGAAACCCAAGGGTTGAACAGATTCTACTGATGATGCATTAGCCCACTGAGCTATCTCACCAGCCTTAGAATGAAAACAAAACAGTGTCGGTGGGCAGATGTGCAGGGAAAATGCATAAAAGCTTGAACATATTGAGCTTGAGTAATATTTCAACCTTGATTGCCATTACTTTAGCAGCAGAAGAGGTAGCCATTTCTGTCTTTCACACACATTTTGTCTAGTGCTGCACATTTTAACCACCAAAAGGTAGCAATGTATTAACATAGAAAATCTGTTCAGTGACCTTAAAGGGATACTATAGGCACCAAAATAACTTTAGTTTAATTAATCAGTTTTGGTATATAAATCATGTGTATCGTGACTTGCACAACTTACATGAAAAAAGGGTTTTAGTATCAATCACAGTGTGTTTACTTTAGAAGGTTTTATCTCCTGTTCTGTAAATTAAACTCTAATTGTAAAAATGTAGATGAATGGATGTTCATGTAGAATCTTCTTAATTTCTTCTTATCTTCAGTTGATTGATATATATACGTCTTTTGTATATATATTCTTGGGCCAAATGCTCGCCACAATAATATATGTCTATATTATTGAAAAGTACTAATACGCAATCTGACTTACGGTTTCTTCAGGTTTATTCTTTGTTACGGATACATAATAAAACATAATAAATGATGTTACAGGATAATGGACATTCAACAGCAGATGGTAATTGCTGGACTTCTGATGGGAGAGTTACATCGTTGTACAGAGCCAAGAGCCAAGCCAAGACTCAAACCAAGACTGAGAGACCTCGTGTCCCTCTGTTACTATATAGAAGTGCTAATACTAACGTCAGCATATAACTCTAGCCATATAAGGACAAAACCCCCAAATCCACATTCCAGAGCTCTCGGACAAAGAAAGCCTTGTGACTTATTGATACCATCTGTTACTTATGTCAATCCACACATCCATATATATAATCAATAGAAACATAGAATATGCAATATTCTACATTCCCTCTGTTTATGGTTTGTTTTAAAACCATAACACAATGTCACTAACCTGTCCATTCATACATCACTTGTATCACATTCATTGAGCATAGAACAGAATGTAGTCACAACTTTCTATTATATGAGAGTTCTTAGAAGGTCGAGTTTCTATCCCTCATACTGCTTACTTTACTTCAAACTCCCTTTGTTTCAGCTATGTATTGATATCCATATCCATATTACATCATAACTACTTGAACATAATATATACATATATATAACAATAATAAATGAATAAAATAAAATATTTACAAATGTTGATCCAATAAACAATAAAGCAATCAGAAAGATCTACCTGCTCAGGTACAGTCATGTCTTTGTAGATAACAAAATTAAGATGATAACTTTCTAAATAATAACTGTGTATCACTACCATATTGCTACAGATACATATAAAAGTATTTTCATTCTCAATACTTGATATTACTTAAGTACCAATAAATGTATTACTATAATATCCTGTCCAATTAGATTTCCATGAATCATATGGTTTCTAGCAACCTTAAAATCTTTAGGTCATTTGTATTCATGAATTACATTCCTATACCATTAATACCACCTAGTGATGATTGTATCAGTACTTTACAATCATAGTATTTAATTTGTATATTCAGTAGGCTCTCACTACCTGAAATATACCAACACTACTTATAAGTCTCATTCAAAGGATGTGTTATCAACCATGAAGTTCTATAATAATTCTTCAAATAATGTTCATGGTGTTAACAATACTTATTGTTCTAGAAATTCTTCACCCAGAAATCTTTCTATCATAGATTTGATTTTGTTCACATAATTATAATTTTCACTAAAATTCCACCCTGTAGTAACAAACTTTAAATTCAATAGAAACATAGTTTACTTTAAAAGAACTTGGAAAGAACAATTTAAATTCATTAGCATCACTCTCTTCATTAGCATTGTGATGACTTATTAATGTAATACATCTTAAAAGCAGGATTGTCCTAATGTTCTGACCAATCCATATTCCTTAGTACACTTCAACTGACTAAAATAAAATAAAATAAAACAAAAATAAACTTGGGGTCATACTGCCCAGAAACTCTTATTCCTAGTCTGTGTCTTACAAACTCAGGGAAATCTTAACAACGTATTCATTGGATATCACCATATCCAGAAACCTATTCTCCCTAGTCCATACCTTTATAGACTTAGGTCAAATATAATTGTGTACTATACTCTTTCCATTCAATTCAATTCCTCTTGGATCTCTGAACTCTTATATATCCAAGGCATTCTTAATGTATATAATTACTTAATATTAATCAATATAAATTATCCTTCCTTAGTTTGCTTCCTTTTGTTACCATAGTTTGTTTTACTTCACCTCAATATAAACAAATTACTCATTATAGTTAATCTATGAAATACTATTGAACTCAATCTTTGTAGTATTAAGTAACCATGATCCTTATTTTATCAACTTCATATTTTATCTTCCTCTGATACTTCTCATTCTATGTATAGGTAATAATGTAATAGTTCTCTTCATAATACTATCCTTTCGTAATTTTACTCCATGTGTTATACAGTTATAAGTAGTCTCTCTTGGTATTAATACTCATAACCGTTAAATAACTTTTCATTGTCTGTTTTCTTCTTCATTAATATTTAGGAATATATATGTATGTTAGTGTCAATCTTTTATTTATTTGTAAGTCTGTTAATCTTCTGAATCGAATGAACTCTGTAGAATCTTCCATCACAGTTTGCCGATCCGATGAAAAGTCTCTTTCCAACAGTCGATGTCCAGTTGTCTGAAGGAATGCTTTCCTGATTTATTGCCACAAGGATCTGTCACGCTTTACCAGTTCAGTTATTTCTGTCTATTTCGTTGCTTCATCCACACAGCTGCGCAGTTCTGGACGCTTGATTCTGGAAATTTGCCAATCTCTGCCACGTGCTTGCTTCTAGAATTCACGTTGTATCTTGTGCTTTTTGTCTCAGTTGTAGAAAATAGTCTTGTACAGTCTTTATGATTTGAAAACTCTATTTTTCTTACAAACACAGTTCTTCTATGATTCAGTCTAGATTCTTTTTTTCTCTTCAAGTTTGTTTTCCCAGTTCCAAAATAGCTTTGTAACTCGATTCTTCTCTCTCCCCCCTTGAAGTGGGAACAAAACTTGAATAGAAGACTGGCTGGCTAACCAATGTAAAAATGTAGATGAATGGATGTTCATGTAGAATCTTCTTAATTTCTTCTTATCTTCAGTTGATTGATATATATACGTCTTTTGTATATATATTATTGGGCCAAATGCTTGCCACAATAATATATGTCTATATTATTGAAAAGTACTAATACGCAATCTGACTTACGGTTTCTTCAGGTTTATTCTTTGTTACGGATACATAATAAAACATAATAAATGATGTTACAGGATAATGGACAGTCAACAGCAGATGGTAATTGCTGGACTTCTGATGGGAGAGTTACATCATTGTACAGAGCCAAGAGCCAAGCCAAGACTCAAACCAAGACTGAGAGACCTCGTGTCCCTCTGTTACTATATAGAAGTGCTAATACTAACGTCAGCATATAACTCTAGCCATATAAGGACAAAACCCCCGAATCCACATTCCAGAGCTCTCGGACAAAGAAAGCCTTGTGACTTATTGATACCATCTGTTACTTATGTCAATCCACACATCCATATATATAATCAATAGAAACATAGAATATGCAATATTCTACACTAATCATAAATATAAAACTCATGTAGGCTCTAGCGGGCTATTAACAGAGTGGGAGATAAATTCTAAATTAAACACACCGTGCCGTAAAGGAATTTTAAACATTAGATCTCTCTTTATGGTAATGTGTAGGGCATGCATGTCAAACTCGCGGCCCGCGGGCCACATGCAGCCCACAACTAATATGTTTGCGGCTCACGGGCTGCGGCGAGGGAGCGCTGAGTGTAAGCTCTTCCTACTCAGCTCCCCACAGTGATGCCGGGAGCCGGAATATGATGTCACTCCAGCTCCCGGCATCACTCTGCAGCGTGCGAGCTGAGCAGGGAGAGCTTACACTCAGCGCTCACTCGCTGCCTGTATGCTCCCAGCCTGCACGCCCGCCTGCCCAGCAGCCCCACTAGACCCTAAGTAAGAAATTCACCCAGCTCTCCCAAGGGAAGGGAGGCTTGGTGGATTTAAATTAAAAAAATGAGTTTTGAGAGGGGGGGAGGGGAATGTGTGTTTGGGTGTGCATGGGTGTCTGTGTCTATGGCTGGCTGTGTGCATGGCTGTTTGTATGGTTGTCTGTGTCCATGGCTGTCGCCATATCTGTGTGTATGTGTATGGATGTCTGTGTGTGTGTGTCTGAGTGATTGTGTGTTTCTGTGAGTGAGTGAGTGTGTCTGTGAGGGAGCTTGTGTGTGTCTGTCAGTAAATGTGTGTGTCTGTGAGTGTATGTGTGTGTCGGAGTGATTCTGTGTGAATGTCAGTGAGTGTGTGTGAGGGCTTCAAGGAGTAACGGGAGGATCCACTTTTTTTAGGGTGCAGATGGGGCCATTGGGGGTATACCAGAGGCCGAACTCCGGACACTGCTTGTTGTGTAATGTTTTTTTGTTTGTTTTTAAACAGGGGCAGGGGTTTAGTAGACGTGGGGACTGGGATTTAGTAGACGAGAGGAGGTCTGCGGCTTAGTAGACGAGGGGAGGGCTGCAGCTTAGTAGACGAGGGGGGCTGCGGCTTAGTAGACGAGGGAGGGGTTTCGGCTTAGTAGACGAGGGGGGCTGGGGTTTAGTAGACATGGGACAGGGGGTTTAGTAGAGGGGGTCCCTATTTTTTTTTATACTGTACTTTTCAAAATAAACCTAAGTTTCTATGAAAATTTTAGTTTTTGTATTTTTGGCCGCCCACATAAACCTAAACCTAAACTTGTTTCTTTGGCCCTTGCTAACCTTTGAGTTTGACATTCTTGGTGTATTGAGACTGTGTAGGTAACATGTAGAGGAGGTGTGACTATGGCTGTATAAACAAAGTTATTTTAACTCAGTGAGCAGTGAGACTACAGGGACGTGATCTATACACCAAAACAACTCAAGCTAAATGTGTTTTGATGCTTATAGTGTTCCTTTAAATAAATGGAATTCTTATAAGATAACTGGCAAACCTGAAGTCTCAGTTGTGATCCACAGGATTTAGTTATGAAAGCTGATGAGCTGAGCTGATTGCCAGGCATAGTTTTGCCCTTTGGGTCGGTTTGTGCACTTCTCTAGACAAAACTAAGTTTCTGATTTAGTTATAAGATATATTGCATTTGCTTGCGATTGCCAAGGAATTCCTGCTTTCATAGGAAAAGGAAAATGTTTTCGGTTACTCACCCAATGCTGTTCGCACGTAGGCAAAGAAGTCTACAATTATAAAATGTAATGCAGATGCTGTGCGATATTTTGTTTGAACATACCGGTATATACATTTATATATAATAACGAATATTGAGAACATGATGTGTTCATAATTTTACATAACTGGATATAGGGTCTATATCGAACAAAATTTTTATTTTTTTATTATTCATTCTCCCGTCATAACAAGGCAAAGAGACTATGGAGGGTAAAAACAGCAAGCGCTTTCCACACTAAGAAATGTGAATTCATGTTGTACAAACGTTATCCAGTCATATAAGTAATGGGTTGTATTGTTAAAGGGACATTCCAGAAACCTAAATCATTTACTGAAAAATTAACTAGTTCTGTTACTTGCTGGTTGTTTAGCTCAATGGAGCTAAACTTATGAGGCAGCACCTGCCTTGAAAAGACTTCTTATTGAACTGCTTTGGAAAGTCTGTGATTGAGAAGCCACAGAAAGTCTGGGGAGGGGAGGTCTTGCAGAGGCTTCAGACAAGAGAGATGCTGCTTTTTCAAGATGTTTTTATACATACCCGAATGAAAATATTTCTTTTCATTGGAGGATATCTACTAAACGGACACTTTTTAAAAATAAAGAGAATCAATACAGTAAAGGGGAAGAGTGTATTTAAAAGAAGAAAACCTACCTCAGCAAGAGGACATAGTCTTAAATTAGAGGGAGAAAAAGTTTAAAAATGATACCAGGAAGAATTACTTTACAGAGAGGGTAGCAGATGCATGGAATAGCCTTCCAGCTGAAGTGGTAGATGTTAACACAGTAAAGGAGTTTAAGCATGCGTGGGATAGGCATAAGGCTATCCTAGCTATAAGATAAGGCTAGGGACTAACGAAAGTATTTAGAAAATTGGGCAGACTAGATGGGCCGAATGGTTCTTATCTGCGGTCACATTCTATGTTTCTATGTTTTGTTTTGTTTAAAGTAAACATATAGCGAGCAGATAGGAAAACTTACAAAGGGCATTCAAAAAGGGTAAAGGTTGGGTGAGGTCGAACGTAATGTTAACCTGGTCCACCCGAACGAAGCTCCAATATAACCAGACCTGGTTCCATAATCTCAATTGCCAAGGGGACCTAGGTAGGAATTCTCAGTGGGGGCAGTCCTGACTTAAAAAAAAAACCCAGACAGATTTGTTAAAAAGGTTATAGTAACCCTTTAATAACAATGTCTTCATTTGTGCATAATGTCTACACATAATACAACATACAGTTTCACTTAATGTGTTCTATACAGGACTTTGCAATTTGAATATAATTCCTACTGTGCTGTGAATGGTTTAAACTGAGCCCTCTGTACCTACTCCTGCCTTAATGACTATAGATGTAGCCATAACATCCCTCCTTTGAAACTTGCTTACTTTGCGAGAGGAGGGAAGAGCTGCCATTCTACAGAGGGACAGAATGGAACCTTGTCAAAGTGGTTTAGATATCTCTACAGCGTGAAATTCAATTCTGGATCATAAACGAGCATAACTAGGGCTTCATGGGTCACTTTCCTTTTGCTTTGTTTTGCAATCTCAAATGGAAGTTAACTCATGTATACATATTAACAGAAGAGAATGAGTTAAAGGGACACTATAGTCACCTGAACAACTTTAGTTTAATGAAGCAGTTTTGGTGTATAGAACATGCCCCTGCAGCCTCACTGTTCACTCCTCTGCCATTTAGGAGTTAAATCCCTTTGTTTATGAACCCTAGTCACACCTCCCTGCATGTGACTTGCACAGCCTTCCATAAACACTTCCTGTAAAGAGAGCCCTATTTAGGCTTTCTTTATTGCAAGTTCTGTTTAATTAAGATTTTCTTATCCCCTGCTATGTTAATAGCTTGCTAGACCCTGCAAGAGCCTCCTGTATGTGATTAAAGTTCAATTTAGAGATTGAGATACAAATATTTAAGGTAAATTACATCTGTTTGAAAGTGAAACCAGTTTTTTTTTCATACAGGCTCTGTCAATCATAGCCAGGGGAGGTGTGGCTAGGTCTGCATAAACAGAAACAAAGTGATTTAACTCATAAATGACAGTGAATTGAGCAGTGAAATTGCAGGGGAATGATCTATACACTAAACTGCTTTATTTAGCTAAAGTAATTTAGGTGACTATAGTGTTCCTTTAATATCACTGATACCCTGCATTAAATGTCTGTATTCTGGAAAATGCTTTGTAAGTTCTTATGACCTAAATCCATAAAGTGATTGAGAACATTGTTCTGTGTGCCAGTACATTTGTACTACTAGTCCAACATTTGGCACTGCAGTGGGGCAAATTTTAATTTCCTACTCACTTGACAAGCATGTAGTTTTGACTAAATATACTATTAATCGTGTATTTGTTTTAGTTTGTTGTGTCCCAAGTTCTAATGAAAACATTCCATCTGTCTGGCATAAACTCCCATTTGTAAATTGACTGACCCCAAATGATACCTCATGTAGTAGCACGCGTTTGTACTATCTAATTTTACATTGGGTTACATAAGGTCATGTCTGCCTTCCATTTCATTATAACAAAGAAACATTCGGATGATCGTTTGCACAATTTTTGTCCTACCATTTCATGGAACATACATTCTTGGAAATATGAACATCTGAGAGTCATATATTTTTAGGGCAAACTGACAAGTATCTTAATTAACCAAGGCAAGGGTGAATAGCCATGTATCCAGTGAGAGAGCATAAGGTTCTAATGCGATTTTACATTATTTCCTATGTATGTAGTGTTTATAATAGTTCGTTGCGTTCATGAATTCTGCAAACACTTATGCTGCAGAAACATATTACACATTCACCAAATCATAACACGTCATTTTTACTACTTTTTCATTGAGATAACAGCAAATTTTAGTTAGACATGGATGGACGCCACAGGTACAGAGAGCACGAGGAACTCAAACGTGAAGAAAGGGCCTTTATATTCCAGTAGCAGAATGTATCAGTCTTTTCTTTACTGGTGAGTTCCTGGTTTCTTGTGTGTCTACTGCGACTCAGCTATATCCACTCTGTACATATCCTTAGCAACAAGAACCTTCCAGGTCTCTAAACTTTAATGATACTTTAATCAGTCCTGTTAAGGGAACGAGTCAGCCCCACAGTGACACTTTCAAATTCCGTACAAACGCTTACATGGAGTAAAATATCCTGGAAATATACTTCTTAGCATGATATTTTCCATAACTCAGTCAAGACTGATTCGTTTAAATTCACCAGGGGGAATGTTTGCACTTCGTAGTTTAATGTTTTCTAGGATATGCTATGTTACCTCCTAGTAAGATATACCCTGCATGCGCTGAAGACCGCCCGAGTGAGAGAGAACAGACCACAGACAGTCACAAATGCTAAAGTGGAGACAGCAACTTCTCTTCCTTTGTTACCCCGGCAACTTGTAATCTGAGTGCACAATATAGACATGGAAAATTACCAAAGAATAAAGGAAAAACACTAGGCACAAAATATAGAAATCCTTGATATAACAACAAATGTAATTTGGATACATGTATCCACTGATAAAATTGAAAAATAATAATATAAATAAATAAATATATATATGTTTGAAACCATTGTAATAAATAATTAGCCTTAAATAACATTTGTAATATTAAATAAAAAATGTACTAAATATTTAGACACAGCTTTTATGATATATTTTTTGTAATAACTGAATTACCATTAATTGTTTTATTATGTTGCAGCATATATTGATATAGACTACACAGCCATATTAGGGTTTAAATTCCCTCCCCAGCCTCCCACGGTGACATTATTGTAAACATTTTGAGGTGAGCAAAAGTCTGACCTAGAAAAAGGCTACTGAAAACACTACAAGCACCCCTACGGAGCTCTATCTAAGCTAAGCTGGGTGATGCAAGGCTTAAATCATTTGTTGAGAGTGATCAGTCTTGAAGGGGCTTCCAACTCTCCTGTAGCTTTAGGGGAGGTCGAAGCGGGAACAGACATACCTAATTCAAGCCATTCTAAGACAATTTGACAATATGTGCTGTCGTGGTTATGGTACTTGTATTATGCTTGTTGGGAAGGAATGGATTAATAAAAACTGCAGATGAATATTTTAGTATAGTATTATGAGTTTAGTTTACAAATGTATTTCCTCAAGGCAACATACACATGACTTTGAAAATCTTGTGGTTCATTATAAATTAATTGATTTAAAAGTAGTCTAAATGCACTTTAAATAGATGTAAACAAACATGCTTTCCTTATCCTGCCTCTGCCTCCCAACACGGACTATGCAGCTCTATGAAAGCTGTGTTCCTTTAACAGAGGCTGTGGGTGTTCAAACTTTCAGCAGAGGTCATTCCGTCAAATTAGTGAAGAAAATCAGAATAACATAAACAGTGTCCCTCACTCTGGGAAGCAGAAGAGTAAATGTTGCCACACGAGTCTGTTCCCATGTTTTGTATAGAAGCATTTCCAGACAATGATATAAACTTTAAAAAGCGTGATTTGCAAGGAATGTATACATTTAAAAACGTAGTGTTTCACAATTTCAAGAAATCTTTAAACTTAATATTTGCTGCAAAAAAAATTATAATAAAATACAGTTTATTGTGTCTTTAAGTCACTATCACAAGATGTTGAAAAAGTTTCGTTTTTTTTTCACTTTTGGTTAAGATCAGGTTTTACAGAACCTGTAACTCACTGTTTTTTGATGGTGTACCAGAGAAATCCCGAAGAAGATTATCTGAATCTACTGTTCCTTGCTTAAGTACATACATCTCCTGAAAATCTCAATTGTTGGCTTGATGTGTGCGCTAATAACCTAAATTCTGAATCTAGTCTTGAGAATCTGTAGTGAAAAGATGACATTAAAAAAGTTAACCAAATGTACACAAAGAGTCTGTGTCTGTGTCCTCATGGCTTCCAGTTTTCCCTAGTCTCCCCGTGACCCCTAGTCTCCCAGTGTCTCCCACATTAACAAACACACTAACAAACACACACACTCACATTAACACATTTTTTTTAATTTAACCCCCCCCCCCTCCTTACCTTTGGGAATGCTGGGGGCGGGGGGTTCTCTATCTCCCTGATGGTCCAGTGGCTGCGGGCGGCGCTGGGCTGGGCGGGCGGCTGGCGAGGGAGCTCTTCCTCTGAGCTCTTGCTCAGCTCCCTCGCGCGCCGCAGAGTGAGGCTGGGAGCTGGAATAAGACGTCATATTCCGGCTCCCAGCCTCACTCTGTGGCACGCGAGGGAGCTGAGCGGACAGCTCAGAGGAAGAGCTCCCTCGCCAGCCGCCCGCTTGGCATGTCTCTTAGCCGCAAGGCTAACAAGGCATTTGCCCTGGGCATTTGGGGGCGGCGTTTTTTGCCGCCCCCTGAAAAATGCCGCCCAAGGCAAATGCCTTGTTTGCCTCGCGGCTAAAACGCCCCTGCTGTGTGGCCTGAAACATTAACCATACGTGGCCAGCTTGTCTTGAATAAAATCACACACACATATATATATATATATATATATATATATATAAGACATACTGTATGTATGCAGTAACAAAAAAAAACACTTTCTATATCTAGATGTCTATATATTTACAATAATATTATATGCATATGTGTATAAATAGGACACTCAAAACACATTTATTAATTAACTTGCAGTACTTTTTTAATTGCATGTTTTTTTAATTTTGTTTTAACTGTGAAAATCTACTGTATTTAAATAATAAAGGTTTTACACCTGCCACAGCTGGAACAGTTATTGGCAAGGTGTTAAGCTATACTTAATATATATTTGCTGATTTATGTAAACTGACAGTGAGCAATACCAATCTGGGAGAGAAGCCAGAGGGAACAGCTATTATTTGATAAGGTGAGTAATACAAACATATACTCATAATAATTTCACTTATCTCATAAACCGTAAAGTGGGTGGTAAGCCAGCGGGAGAAACTGCATAGCATTCGTGCCATAAAAAAAATAAATATTGCTTTTTATTTTCTCAAATTCCAAGACAGGACTTACAGTAACACATTCTGCCTATACTATGTGAATCAAAAAGGCCTTCTTAGCCAACATTATATTTATATTAGGGTGACTAGAGGCCCATATTTTAGGAATGCTTCAAGGCTACATTACAGTGCAGTTACATAAAATATGTCCTGATAGTGTACTAATCCAAATGTTGCCAATGGAACAACCAACAGTTTTTTGGGAGGAATGTTCTCTGTAGGGGCCGGATGGGAACAACTTGTGGGATCCGTATGTGGAAACAAAGAATGGATGATAGTGGAATAAATCCAATAAAAATCCATATTTCTATTTTTTTTTTACTTATACTTGGTGTATATTGCAATTAAAACTGAGGGGAATTTTTTTCTCATTTTTAATCTTTTCTTCCTATTTACCATTGCATTATGTATACATATAGGATTTCAAAAGAAAACCCTAATTCTTCTTTAAAAATGATACGTAACTTGTATGGGTGCACTCAAACAGAAAGGGGGTGGGGGGTCGTGGTAGAATGAATGACATCACAAATCACTTCAGTGCTGATACTGCCAGGGCACACGTTGCATTGGATGAAGAGACACAAACAATGAAGGTTATATGGAAAACATGTTGTTTTCTAAGTAGTGATGAAAAAGATGTAAAAGGGACAAAGTCACTGATGGCATGTGGTGGCTGGCTGTACTGGTTTCCATGGTGACTGCCTCATTTTTAGTATTTAAGACCACTGTTCAGAGCACAACACATTTTATACATAACTCCTATTGTTTTCATTTCTCAACTTTTACATATTTTATTAAATTACAGAAAACAGAGACATTCAGTTCCGGGTTATGGGTGGAGTTCTACACTTACCTTTATATTTCTAAACTCACATTTTTTATTTTAAATATAGGGGATACGTAAACATTATATCAAAATTATTAGGAAACAATTTACACCTTTTACATCATTGAACTAAACATTGGAAATCACATTAACTTGTGTTACTCTTTTTATCATGCAATGCTCTAGATACCTTTAAGTTTAAAAGATTTACAAATTGCATCATAATCCAGTTCTAACAAGGCAAAACCAAGGCAAACCTTGCAAATAAAGAGGAAAAATGTAAACATTGTTTAATTTCACTTCCTCTAGATTCCAAGCATCCAAGCATTGTCCTCG